AGGAACTAACCTGGGGGTGGGGGTGGCCCGGAAGACTTCCTGTGGAAGTGACACTGAGTGGAGACTTGCTGGATGAGTAAAATCCTTTTAAGTATTTTAAACTAGATAAAGAGGCGGCAGCATTTGAGGCACAGGGAATAGCACGGAGGAAACTTCCTGAGGCAGGAGCAAGGACCTGAGAGGAAAGGCGTGTGTCCCAGGAAGAGTAAGTAGGGTGATGCAGAGACAGGAGGGCTGACTCTGGAGGACCTGGCAAGTAGTGGTAAGGATGCCAGGCTTTTTCCCAGGGGAAATGCAAAATCATCAAAATGTTTTAATCAGAGAAATTTGATTTAATGTTTAAAGATCACTTTTATTGCCTGTAGAGAAGGGAAGACATTAGTTCCCTTAATGGTTTGAAAAGACAGAGCCTGATAATGGATTGGAGTGTGTGTGGGGGGGGGGGGGGGTGAAGGGGAAAGAGGCAGAAGCGTGACTCCTAGGTTTCTGGCCTGTGAGAAAGTACTGAGAAAAGGAACACTGGATAAGGAGCAGTTTGGGGAGAAAAGACGATGAGTTCAGAATTGGACAAGTTTAGAGTTGGAGGTGCCTGCAGGATATCCAAGAGGAGACGCCCAGTAGGCAGTCGTACTTGTGGGTGGAGATCCCAGGAGAGAAGTCTGGGCATATAAATGGTAAATGACCCAAAAAATAATTAGTATGTTTCATGGCATAGTTAAATCTTTTTATATCTCTTTCATCTGCTTTTTGTCTCTCAGCGGCTGTAGGAATGAATCCTGTTACTGCCGTTAACAGATGGATTCCCTTCTGATGCTGACCAGCACTTAAAAAAAAAAAAAACATAAATGTTGTGTTTATTGCCTTGAACTTCACCTTCAGTATGCAAACACAAAATCCCACCAAAGCAAACTCTGAGACTGCCAGTGTATTTTTTTTTTTTAAATGAGTCTGTGAAAGTTTAGGTCTGAATTCAATCCAAACTCCTTCATTATACAAATAGAAAACGGTGGCCGGTGTGGTTTTGAATTTTATAAGGTTACATAGCTGGGCAGTTGCAGAATTGGCCCTAGAATTCAGGACCGTGTACTGACTGGGCAGTGCTATTTCCACTTATTTTTACTGCTTCCCCGTCCTATTGAATAGCTGCTGGCTTCAGAGTACCAATTACTAATGATTTGTTTCTTAAGGAATATGGAACAGACCTACTCTGTTTGGTGTCAGACCCTTGAGGGCTGGAATTGTCTTTTTTTAATTAATTAATTTAATTAATTAATTAATTTTATTTATGATAGTCACACACACACACACACACACACACAGAGAGAGGCAGAGACATAGGCAGAGGGAGAAGCAGGCTCCATGCACCGGGAGCCCGACGTGGGATTCAATCCCGGGTCTCCAGGATCGCGCCCTGGGCCAAAGGCAGGCGCCAAACCGCTGTGCCACCCAGGGATCCCTGGAATTGTCTTTTTATACAATATTCATTCCCATGATAATAAATTTCCAAAGGAAAATTTTGAATTCTTATGAAAGCATTTTGAAACTTCTCATGGCTCATGGACCCCTTTGGTTCTCTAACGAGGGGATAACTCTCTGGCTGTGCATATAATAATACAATCTTACATGCAGTTTCAGAAACTCCATAGATTACAAGTTAAAGAAATCCTGTTATACAATTGGGCTATTCTCAGGGACTTGTGAACCGTTTGTTCTAGAAAGAAGTTCACTAATTTCCTGATTGTCTCAAATGAGTATCAGTATGTTTAAGACATTGAATAGTAGCTGAGTTAATTTCCTGGATACCTTACACACAGTTCATGTGTGCTAATCCATTAGTCACTATTGACTAATACGATGTCCATCTCAGTGACACACTCTCTAGAAGTTGTATTTTTTTTAATTTTTTAAAAAAGATTTTATTTATTAGAGAGAGAGAGAGAGAGAGAGGGCACAAGCTGGGGGAGGGGCAAAGGGAGAGGGAGAAGCAGACTCCCCATTCAACAGGGAGCCCGATGCAGGGCTTGATCCCAGGACACTGAGATCACAACCCAAACCAAAGGCAGATACTTAACTGACTGAGACACCCAGGCGCCCCTCTCTAGAGGTTTTATTTTATTTATTTATTATTTATCATTTTTTTTCTCTAGAGGTTTTAAAAGGTAGTTACGTGGTGCTGAATTAGATAGAAATCTGTTGATGTCTCAGCAGAAATGTTATATCCTCTTAACATTCTTAAAAGTAATAACCCAGTTAGACGTGTAAGCCCTGACATAGGAAAGGACGATTCTTTCCTGTCCAAAGTCAGGACCAAGAGAAGCCTGTTTTATTGGTGCTCACCTATTTCCAGGGGAGGGAAACAGCCTTAAGCCTGAGCGCGCCTTTGGTTGTGTTGAGCTGGGAGTAGAGCCCCCGCCCTGCACCAGGTTCTTCTCAAGCACCTCCTTCACTCTCTACTTACCTACCATTCTCATCCCCTTCATCTGATTAGCACCGGAAATTCTCCCGACCTCTAGCTCCTCCTGCTCAGGATGAATTTCTAGCCAGCCAAGCTGCCTCCTTTTCCTTATTCACTAGTTTCTGACGAATTGGCACTTTTCTGTGACAGACTCTTAGCACTATCTAAAATGATATTATCTGTGTGCCCTTTCTAGAATGAAAACCTCATGTAGGCAGGAATCTTACCAGTCTCATTCACCACTCTATCTCCATTACCCAGGACGATGCCTAGTGCTGACTGAGGTCTTGGCAGGTGCACAGTAAATATTTGAATGAATGAATGAATATCTACCCCATAAACTCCCCAAGGACACTGACAGCGTATGGCAACACAGATAGGTTTTTATTAAAGCCTAGTCCAGCGGCTAGCCTGTCAGAGCCCAGTCACATAGCCTCCTGAGAACACTTACCACATGGTTTCCCTTCATTCTAGGATTTGCTGTGGTTACCCAGAAGCCACACTGAACTGTGCTCTAAATCATTTAGCCAGTTGAAGAAAGTGTCTTTTCTGTCAGGTACTTAAGCAGAATGGCTAAGAGGTTTGGCTGTGGAGCCAGACTGTCTGGTTCAAATCTTCCTGGCTGTGTGACTCTGGCAGTTTACTGATCCTTAATGTGGCTGGGTACATTCACCGGTAGATTGAGGCTACCAGTAGCACCTGTTTTATAGGATTATCTGGAGGATTAAGTGAGTTGCTATAGGTAATGTATTAGGAACTATTCTAAGATATATGTACTCAGTAAATGTAGGCAGGGTAATGACAATAATGGAGGTGTTGGTATTTGACCAGTAACGTCAAAGGGTGAATATTATTAGGCTTTGTTTTCAATCTGGGCATTCTGTTTTATTAACCATTCTTTCATCATTGCTTTCTTAAAATATAAAAATCAAGTAATCTCTTAGAAATACTTTTTAAAATATTCACATTAAGTGATTTCTAAAAGATAACTTGTTAAGAAGCAATTTGAATCCTTGTATTAGTTGCATTATTATGCAAAATTTTTTCGTGAGGATACTGAGTAGGTTTTCCTTCCCCAGGATCTGTGTAAAATGCATATTATCTATTTGAAGCATTTCTATAATACTGTCCTTCATATGTGGATCTTCCTCACATATTTTCTGTAGGAAAACATTAATAAAAAATTGTGTTATTATGAAATCAAACTGAACTACCCAGCATGGAAGATTACTTTCTGGAATTTTTAAAAAAGTACCTCACATAGAACTTAATTATGCTTCTGTGCACCCTTTTTTTACATGGCAAGTCTAAATGACAGATTAAAAGTTTCTGTCAGGAAGAATTATTTTTAGGTCAGCCTTAAGAACAGGGAGGGAGGGGACGCCCAGGGTGGCTCAGCAGTTGAGCACCTGTCTTCAGCCCAGGATGTGGTCCTGGAGTCTCCGGATCAAGGCCCACATCGGGCTTCCTGCATGGAGCCTGCTTCTCCCTTTGCCTAGGTCTCTGCCTCTCATGAATTAAAAACAAAAACAAAACAAAACAGGGAGAGAGGAGAGAGTAGGAGAGAAGGGAAACAACAAAATAAAACAAAAAACCCCTTCAATTATAACCCATACCCTTAATCGATGACCTTTATAGTCATCTGGGCATAGAGGAAAAGTACAAAGAAAATTGAAACATAATCTGCCTATGAGCTAAGTGTTTTTTGGTTTTTGTTATTGCTAAAGTATTAATAATAAAAATACTGTTCATAGTTTCCTAATAGTCTAAAATTTTTTGGGCTTTTTTCTTGGTCTTATGTTTTTCTGTTTTTCCCCTATCACTTAGGGGAAAAAAATGAACCGTAGAAAGGTTCTTAAAGCAAGAGAGTGCATAAAAACAGTAGATGAGATGTCTGAGAATTGTCTCATTTGTTTTTTTAATGAGACATGTGGAAGATAGATGTATCCATGAATCAGTACCTTCAATTCTGTGTAAGTGAGCTATCGACTGGAGATTTCCAGCCTCCTGAAGTCCAGGAAGTTACAGGCTTGGGGAGTCGATTTTTTTTTTTTTTTTTGGTGGTAGTATTGTTTAATTTTCATCCTCAACATGTCAATCTGTTTCTTCCAAAAAGCTTCAGTACAGGGTTAGTGGGATGAGTAGTAAAGGCTCTCATAGGTTATACGGATAATACTGGAAAATGACAAAAATAGAAGAAAGAGATAAAGAATAATTAAAAAAAAAAAAACAAGGTACTTGGCTTAGAAGGAATGCAGAGTTGAAGACCTAAAACAACTGCCATAAAACTAAGTCATTTAAATCAAGTAATAAAAGGAAAAAAGAAAGCTGGTTGGTCTATATAGTATATTTTGATATGGTCTGTCATTGTCATTTGTCATGCTTATTTTTAGTTAGATGGCTGTAGAATATGACTTTGTGGCCATGGTGTGGTAACTAGGGTCTCTGATGTGCGCGTGTGTGTATGTATGTGTGTGGGTGTAGGGAGTGTGTGTGATTGTTAGAAGCCTTTCACAAAGACAGTTTTCTTTCTTGTGCTTTCCAGATTTTCGCCTGATGGGAGGCTAATTGTATCGTGTAGTGAAGATAAAACTATTAAAATTTGGGATACCACAAATAAGCAGTGTGTTAATAACTTCTCAGATTCTGTAGGGTAAGTTCTTTCTCTCTGTGCATTTGTATGGGGTAGTTTGCTAAGCAGATATTTCTTTATTAAAATTCAAATAAAGAAATGAAGGGAAGAAAATCAGAATCTAAGACTATCTTAATCCTTTCCTCCTAGGTTTGCAAATTTTGTGGATTTTAACCCTAATGGTACATGCATAGCGTCAGCAGGTTCTGATCATACGGTAAAAATCTGGGATATAAGAGTAAACAAATTGCTCCAGCATTATCAAGGTAACAATTTCCATGACAACAAAATCCAGTTGATGCCTGGCCTCCTCCAGGAACCTCTTAAACCCACAGACCGTGCTTCTCAGTGTGGTACGGCCCTCTTAAAGAGAGTCAGGGGCTGCCTTTGAATTGACTGGAGACCAGTTAATTCAATCAACAGTGTAGTCTGAGAAGCTGGGATGGGTGTCAGAGTAGAGAGGGAGGAGGAGGAACCTTGAAAATGATGCCAGGGCTGTTAAAAAATAAGTTACAGTGAGATGTCCACAGATTGGCTCTCTGCATAATAAGAGAGATCAGGGATAGAAATTGACTCTGAATTCTGAATCAGGAGTTCTGTGAGCACAAATAGGTGTTATAATTGGTGGAGAACAGCATCCTACTGTTGCTATGTATTGAAACCAGAAGAGAAATGAATTGATTTCTTGGTTTGTATTGGATTTACATTAAAATCCACATTTCCTTTTTAAAAGAAGTATAATACTTACCAGTAGCAGACACCATGCAGAATCCTTACAACAGCTCTGGGAAGTAATTATTATTACTTCCCATTTTAAAGATGAGGAGATTGAGGCTTGAGGGTAAGTCCCGTGCTACAATAATGGATAGAACTAGAGTAGGGTTTTCTGTTTTCAAAGCATGTGAAAGAACAACCTTCCGATGGCTGTGTTGTACTGCCTCCTGTTGGACGGATCGTGTCCAGGAATGAACTGTTGGAGAAGCTGGGAGAGACTGTGCACGTCTGCAGATAGACCTGTAGGCCCTTCACCCCTGAGCCTCAAGCCCCATTAGCTGATTATGAGATTCCTATTTCTGGCTAGGTCGTATACCTTGTGTGAGCTGGCGGCGGTCAGCTATTGGCTATATTATATTGGTTATGGATCTGAAGAGTTTATAGTTATGTGGTTAATAAGCTCATCTTTCCAGGACACACTTGGACTTTTTTTTTTTTTTGAGATTTTATTTATTTATTCATGAGAGACAGAGAGAGAGGGGCAGAGACACAGGCAGTGGGAGAAGCAGGCTCCATGCAGGGAGCCCGACATGGGACTCTATCCCAGGTTTCCAGGATCACACCCTGGGCTGAAGGTGGCGCTAAACCGCTGAGCCACCCGGGCTGCCCACACTTCGACTTTTAGCTACTCTGTCTCATTAGCTGGAAGTTTAAGCTGTTTGATGGCAAGATACTTACTTGTTTTAGTGAACTGTATGGAATTTTGGTGTTGCGGAGACATTGCCTTTAACGGATTGTTTCCAACCTAATAATGCTAATAGGGCAAAGGGACATCTTTAGAATTAAAAATTGTTCTCTGAACTTTTTGCTTTTATCTTCTATGAATCAGTTCACAGTGGTGGAGTTAATTGTGTCTCATTCCATCCTTCGGGCAACTACATCATCACTGCTTCTTCAGATGGCACACTTAAGATTCTCGATCTCTTAGAAGGAAGGCTCATATATACACTTCAAGGACATACGGTATTAACACTAAGATTTGTGCTTTTTAAATAATATATATTTTTAAAGTGTTGATCCATTTTATTATGTGTCTTTATTGTTGTCCTCCCAGGTGTAGCACACAATGCCACTATCACACACACACGCACACACACACGCACATACACGCATACAGATGTTTGCTTTCAGGGCTTTGTTTTTATCCTCTGGAAGCAACTCTTAGAAATATTATTTTATTGTAGTTCTTGTCAAAATCAATGTGTATCTTTCAACGGCCATTAAATTAATCTTTCACTGCTGTCTTCCTCAGCATGTAGGGTAGGTTTGACTGGTCAGATGATGATGGATAAGCAGTGTCCAGTGTCCTTCCTTGTGATCCTTCTGCTTATGTGGAGGCTGCCCCAGGGCTCTGACACTGAGCCTCTCACACCCTCTCACTCACTCCTTTTCACTAATCTGATTGGTGAGTTTAGAAGGAGAAAGTCAACAAGTAGAGTGCCTTCTGTTAGGAGACTGCCGCCAGTGTTTTTCTCTGATATTTCTTGTGGGCATGCCTGCCCTTGTCCTGTCTTGCCTGTGATGGGGTATTCAAATCTGACTCATTTTGGGATTCAGTTCTTCAGCCCATTTGCCCACAGATAAAGCCACATGTTCTCTTTACAAGCCTTTAACAGTAAGAAAGATGACATGCCTATGCATTGATTTTCAGTTGACTTAGAACCCAGTGAGGAAGAGGCTTACTATTTATGGAACCTGTTCAATCACACACACACACACACACACACACACACACACACCAGCAAATAACACGCTAAATAAAAACTTGTAAGTATATAGACTATTCTTCCTTTCTGGGTAAATATTCAAACTTCTCTAAATTTTTTTTAGAATGCATCCTGCATCCTCTTTTTTAAAGATGTACTAGGTACTTCCTTTTAACCAAGTATAAGCTGTTTATCTCCAGAAATAGAATAGGCTTTGTGGTCTATGGGAGAAGGGATTCTTTTTGCCTTCATATATCCTGCCTGGCTTCCTGCTTTGCTTTATCATTTGTTCTGCAGCTGTGTTAGAGGGAAGCAGAAATAGACACTACCCAGCTCAGATATATATGTATCCATGGATTTATCCTGAGTAAACAACCAATAAAAGTGATCAAGGATTAAAATATCCATGGACTAATACAGAATAATAATAATAATACAGAATAATAGGAGAAAAAGACAATATTTCAGGAGAAAAACAGTGCACACAAAGATGGAATTTTTCACAGTAGAGTAAAGATGTATGGTTGTCCCCCCAGATTTTTCTTATACAGATTAAGGACGTTAGTAACAAACAATATACTAATACTTTTGAGATGAGAAAGAATTACTCTTACCTTGACTGAAAAATTGACCTAGAGGCTATGCATCTTGTGACTTGTCCAACTCCAGAGTCATTGCTTAATTTCAGGTTCTCACTACCTCTCACCTGGATAATTGCAGTAATTTCTTAACTGGCTCCAACCATTAATTCTTGCTCTAATTCATCATTCTTACAATGGTGATCTCAGTGTTCCACAATCACAATTCTCCTCCTATCTGTGTCCTGCTGGCAAAACTTGCAGTGACTCAGTGTTGCCCACATGAGGGGAAAGAGCCCAGTGAAGCCTGTTGTGGTCAGGAAATAGTCTTTATTCATATCACCTTATAGACTTGTTATTCAGTTTCTGCTAGTAATTTGTTGAATAAAGAGTCCAAAACCAGAAAATCTTAGCAGACATTTAACTGACACATGTAACAAGCTTTTCTTCAAATGAAAAGAGAGTGTATATCCATATTTTTATTAGTATTGCTTTTTAAATCTAGTATCATTTATATGTGTTTTAATAAAATTGAGTTGGTTCTTTGATCATCTTTACTCTGCCTACATTAGTTGGCAGTGACTGGATACGTTTTATCAGACTTACTGCATAAATAGTCTACATAGATTAGGATGAAAAATTTATACAGTCTTCCTGGCCATGAGAAAACAATACCAAGTGCTTTTTTTCCTTTTTTGTCTCCCTTTATTTCTTAGGGACCTGTCTTTACTGTCTCATTTTCAAAAGGTGGAGAGCTGTTTAGCTCAGGAGGTGCAGACACACAGGTTTGTAAATCTTTCAGCTCCTTCCTTGATTTGGTGAAGGTGAAGGATTCCGAGACCTCGGCTAAGATTCTTAACAACCAGCTAGTTTGTATGTGTTAAGATGATTATCAATGAATTTATATTTTAATTTAATGCCAAGAAGTCTGCTGTCTCATAGCTGAAACAATGCCAGTTCTGGTACTTTCTGGACCTCAAACAGCAATTATTTCTTGTGCTCCTCTCAGTGCTCAGTTACACATGTAATTTACTGAATTCCCAGTGTTGATGTGGCACTTCCATTTGAACTGTTGCCTCGTCTTTTATCTCTAGGTCTTGTTTTTCAAATGTTAAGCTCCTGGAGGATGGTAAATATAAATTGTTAATGTAGCAATATGCATTTTTTTTTGGGAAATGACCAAAAGTCATTCACAGGTAGGTGTACTGAATGAGGTGGGCTGCCAAGCCAAGAACATGATTTTGAACTTTGAAAAGGTAAGAGAGGATTTTAAAGTAATGAGTTACTTTCTTAGTATGAATTTTCAATTGGACATGAAGGCAACTCAAAGTGTTAAATCTCTCCCTCTCACCCTTAAAAAATGTAGTATTGGGAAGTAGTAGCGCTGGTGTTGAAATATACATCTAGCCTTCCTGACTACTATTGTGAAGAACAATCATTATGTATACTGGTTTTTTTTTAAAAAGTCAGTTTTGTTGCTTTTACATGCAAGTCAATTAAGTGCCCACTTACTAATTTTTTATAGGTCTTATTATGGAGGACTAATTTTGATTATTTGAATTGTAAAGACATGATTAAAAGAAATCTCAAAAGGTTACATTTTGATTCATCACCACATCTTGTCGACATATACCCAAGAACACCACATCCCCATGAAGGGAAAATTGAGACTGTTGAAGTGAGTACTGTGGCATAGACATCCTACTGTTTGTAAATGTACATTTTGGGGCAATTGGTCAACTAGATGCTTAAAATTATACTTTATTATGGAAAACCTAGTTATGTCTTAAAACAATAGCACTTTGGGAGACAATTTTCACTAATACAATAAGACTATAAATAATGACAGTGGGTAATTCTGCTGAAGCCTTTCAGGTTCGCTGCTTAAAGGCCTAGAAATAAAGGTTAAATATTGTGTCAGTGATAATAGAAATGAGAAATCAAACCTTAGGCCTGTGGTAATCATGAAGCCTGAATGACTTCGTATTCTTGATGTGTTTAGGGAGCACCTGTGATGGCTGTCACAAGAACAGGACTGAAGGGAAGAATTTTTGTTAACAGTTCCTAGAATGGGTATCTTAAAGCCTTTTTTATGACCAAAAAAAAAAAAAAAAGTTTCATGGACAGTAAAAAAGAAGAGATTTAGGCATTAAACCTAGTAATTGAGACCATTTTACTATTTTCCTACATTGCCTACAGATTTTCAAATATATAATTATCTATTTAGCCATAGGTTTTCGTTGACAAGTTCTCTTAGGTCCTATGGATTTAAATGTTCTACTCTGTTCAAAGGCAGAATTCATCTTTGCTGGATACTTGGCTGGTGTTTGTTTTCTTTCCATTTTGCATGATTCTTCTTAAGCCCTTTTCTCTCCCAAGAGCTGATACTGGAAATCACTATTACCTATTTATCTGAATTGTTTTTCCATCATTGACAGAACCTTGCTTTGATTTTGGAGTAGCTGTTTTGAGTTCTTAGCACTTACTCCTGAGTGGCAGTTCAGTCACCCACAGGGTTATGTGGTGGATCCGTACCCCCTTCCACCGTCCCTCTGTCTCCACCCAATCAGGTCTTTGATTTTGGATTCTGTTAGCCACAATGTGTGTGTGTGTGTGTGTGTGTGTGTGTGTGTGTGTGTGCGCGCGCGCGCACGCGCGCGCGCATTTAAGTTTTTAAAACTTTTTAAAGTTTTTTGGGGTATTTTCTAGATTTTGTTTAGTCTAACCTGATTTGGGGATTGCTGTCCTAGTTTTTTCTTGGTGGTGTTTATTTTCAATTCTTACTTTTAATTTTTGTCCCTCCCATCCTCTGACCATCTTTCTAGTTCTTTTAAACAAAGTATTTACCATGTGCCTTATTGCTTCTTTGTGCTGTTATTGTATCAACATGATTAATGTATCTTTTTAAAAATTTCTTTGAAAGAAATAATGTAATTTGTGGCTCATCACATTTTTGTTTCGGTGTCTGCAATGATAGATGTATTTGTGGATTCCTCTGATCACGTATAATGTATACATGAAATATATTTTATTTTTATTTTTTTTAAAGATTTTATTTATTTATTCACGAGAGACACAGAGAGAGAAGGAGAGAGGCAGAGACACAGGCAGAAGGAGAAGCAGGCTCCATGCAGGGAGCGAAATATATTTTAATTTGAGTTCCCTTTTCTTGTTTTACCCCAGCTGGTTTTATTGACTCGTGGTGTATTTTTATTCTAGCATTTCTGTGGTTTGGCTGGGCTTGATCATCAGTGTTGCTGCTGCCCTGTCATCCACTCAGCCACCTTTCCAGAGTGGTGGTGGGGTAGAGCTGCAGGCTCATCCCAGGTCCCCTGACTCCTAATTCAGTGATATTTCCATGACACCACACTACCCCCGTATTAGAGACCTAAGCCTTTTTCTGTGTGATTAACTGTCATCCCCAGCCCACTTAAGAGTGCTAGACTTTCTTTAAAATGTCAACAAGTTGTCCGAGAAGCTCTGCTCTGACAGAGCAGCCAGAAAGCAGTAAAAACAGCTAGGTTGCTTTGTTTGGTAGGTCTAGATGACCTAGGCCATGCAAAGTCACTCTCAACCATGATTTTCTCAGGTACACTTGAAAAATCTATTAAAATCCAACTTTTCATCCTAGAATCAGAGTTCAGTTATATTATACAGAATGTTGAGCATTATGATGGAATTGTGTTTGTGGCCTTAAGAATGTCAGCCTCTGTGTGGCTGGTTTAAATTACCTGTAAAGCACTCACAGTTGCTTAAATTAAGTACCCAGTATGACATGTATTTGTTAAAACATCTTCAGATCATGTAATGTTAAAATGCCAGAGAAATGAAGTGGTAGGATGCTGCATATGAACAGCTGTTTGCCTTTTCCCCCCCTTTTTTCTTGAAAGCTCTTATAGTCAAGCAAGGGTGTAAAGTTTTCTAGACAGAGGACTTCTTTAATATTAGAAGTAAATGTTAAATATCAAAAAATTTTAAAGGCTACAGGTTAATGTCCAAGCACCCCTCATAGAACCAAAAGACTAGTAATTTGAAGGTATTACTTAGAATGAAAGAGGATGAATGAGAATAGAAGTTGTACTACTGCTATGTCCAGTTAAGATTAGTACATTTTACTTTGAACTACTATGTTTGGTGGATTAATTTTTTTTCAAAGGTTCAGGCAAGGTCAATTTATATACGATAAGCTACTTTGGAAATATTTGAAAATTAGAAAGAAAATTTTTTTGAGGTCTGAATTCATGATTAATAGTATAATGATCTAGTTGATTTCCCTAACCTTTTTTATCCTAACCACGAGTATTACATTTCTGAGTTTGAAGCAACATTGTATTTCTATTATTCATATATATATATTCATATATATATATTCATATATTGTATTTTCTGTGAGGTTCATTTGAGTGGCATAATCTCAATCTTTTGGGTGAAATTGTTTGGCCTTTTGCAAAAAACTACCTATATGCCAGTGTTAGGTGCTTTGTTTGTTTGAAGGTGGGGAACCTGCAGTCTCAGACCTTGGGTTCCAGCTGAATAAATATGTAAATTACTAATTCTTACATGGATAGAGAGAGTGATAACAGATTGCTTTTTAGAACAGATGAGAGGAGGCCACATGAAAGAAGGTGTGAAGTATCCAATCCTAGCTCCAGCTGTGTGAAATAGATCCCTCCTGTGTCCTTTCCACTGATCTAACTGCAGATCCTTTGTAGCACTTCTGGCCTAGGCACTCCATCTTTTTAAAAAAAATATTAAGTAATCTCTATACCCAACGTGGGGCTCAAACCTACAACCCTGAGATCAAGAGTTGCACGTTCTACTGACTGAGCCAGCCAGGTGTCCCCTAGGTACTCCATCTTAATTAAAAATGTGAGAACAGCTTCTTTCTTTTTTTAGTGGGAAAGAAGTCCAGTTTTAAAACAAGGTATCTTAACTCTGACCATGCTGTGTTATGGCACATGATTAATTCATGCTGTCTTTATCTTCTTCAGACTGGCATGGGCTGAATTGCACCTCCAGATAAAACTAAACATTCATTCTAAAAGGGTAATTTCATATGTAAATGTAATATGTACTTCTCTACAAATCTTGTATTTTATTTCTAGCTATGGCATATATTCATATTGTTTCGGAGCTCAATAAGTGTTCTTCAGAGATTATATAATAATACCAGTAATAATAATAATAACATTACAGACCAAGTTATTCTAATTAGCTTATATAAATTGTCATTAAATGTTCCTTAGAAACTCAATGAAGTACTATTTTTATTCCTTGAGGAATTGAGGCACATGTAAGTTAAAACTTAAAGTTAGTAAGTGGCAGTGCTAGAATTTCAGTGCAGGCACTCTGGTTCCATTTTGTGCTTTTAACCATTTTTATGTAATGCTTCAAAATAATCAAAATTGAATTTTAATCTGTTAATAGGCAGTAAGTATCTATGAGCAGGAGGACATTGTATTAGCTTTAGAGTATGCAACAAAGAACAAAACAGGTGTATTCCTTGCCCTTCAGAATTTGTTAGTAGCAGTCTTTGTGCTCACGGACTCCTCAGTGAGGGGTACACAGAGCCCCAGGATGGGATGGTGCATGTGAGGCTTCTCTCCTGCACAGAGGCCTCAGTGATATATCCTGGTTCAGTGATGGAGAGAACTCAGTCCCTCAGTAGAGTCCCGCTCTGTTTCAAGATGAGTGTAGTTACGACACGGTTCTTCCCTTTATTAAGGATGGAGTGCTGTTAATATTCCTGGAGGTTAGCTAGCAAAGAACCTAACTGGAAGCATCACTCCCTACACATATTTTCTTTTGGAGAAGACTGTAAAGTGTTACCAGTAAGACTGTCCTGCTCCATTTAACATATGTGGCAGCAACTTATTAGTTACATTAAGAGTTTTCCAACTCATAGAAGCTTACGGATTCTCTGTGAGAGATGCTGTTTCCACGGGATTTAGATTTTTTTGAGAAGTTCCAATTTCAGATGGTAAAACCCGATTGTATTTTTCCTAGAGAAATGATTTTATGTCTACACTAGGTGGCAGCAGATAAATGAGAATGAAAGTCTACAAGCAATCTCTGGGCAGCTAGGCTAAGATTGGAAGCAAAGTGATTCATGGTCAGGCTTCTTATCTTGGCCTCCAGCCGGGACTCAGCTGCTAAGAGGAGGCTGTGTTTTCTGCTGTCTGGAGCAGCCAGGAAGAAACAAAGGTGCTGGCAGGCTGAGCCGAGAGGCCCTCATACTCATCCTGCTAACCCCTTTTCTGGGGCATGGGCACTCCTGGGCACACACCTCTACACACAAGTGGCTGGATAATTATAAAAACCTCTTAATGTTTCCAGAACTCTAGCTGTACCCATCAAACATGACAAGTGCTCTTAGAATCATTCTGCTCTCCTCACAGGCTCTGCCCTTATCAGCTCGGTCCCGGACTGTTGCAGTGGGGTTCTCGCTGTTCCCTGACTTTATCCTTGGTTCTCTGCATGCCTCTGTCAGATTCATCTTGCTTAAGCACATTGCAGGCTCCAGCTCTTCGGTGCCTTTCCAAATTCCTTCAGCCTGCACAATTTGCCCCTTGCCAGGCCCCTTGCCTCTCTCACTACTACCCTATGCAAAAGTATCCTGTGGGCATTCTGTCTCTGTGCTCAGGAATGCTCTTCACCTCATCTCTGTCTCTGGTTTTGTTTTCTAAATCTATTTTTCAAGGATCCATCTTAATTAAGCCTTTCCTATGTTTCCTCCATGGGAAACACTTTCTTTGAGGTTCTTGCATACTCATTGCTGGTACCATACATTTGATACAGTCAAACTCTGGACTCCTCAGTGAGGTGGGAACACAGAGCCTCAGGATGGGATGGTGCATGTGAGGCTTCTCTCCTGCGCAGAGGCCTCAGTGATATATCCTGGTTCAGTGATGGAGAGAACTCAGTCCCTCAATAGAGTCCCGCTCTGTTTCAAGATGAGTGTAGTTACGACACGGTTCTTCCCTTTAATAAGGACGGAGTGCTGTTAATATTCTTGGAGGTTAGCTAGCAAAGAACCTAACTGGAAGCCTCACTCCCTCCACATATTTTCTAAGTGCCCAATCAACACTTTCTTCTTTGAGGTTCTTGCATACTCATTGCTGGTACCATACATTTGATACAAAGTTCTGTCTTTGTTGCCCTTTATTAACTAATTTATATTCACAATCTTTAGTAAGTATTTGATGATTATGTGATTTTTAATTTTTTTCTTTGATCTTGAATTCTGAAGTAACCTCCATCAGAAGTAATTGCCAACCTAGCTAATTATTCCCTTGCTTGCTTTCTTTCTTATATATGTGTTTTAATCTATAATTAGATATCATGTAGTTTTAGATGGTTATAAGCTTTATACAAAAGAAATCATACTCATTGTATTTCTCTATAAACTGCTTTTTCACTTAAAAGTAAAATCCTGTGGGGCACCTGGGTGGCTCAGTCAGGTAAGCATCTGCCTTCTGCTCAGGTCATGACCTCAGGGTCTTGGGATTGAGCCCCACATCGGACTTCCCACTCAGTGAGGACTCTGCTCCTCCCTCTCTCTCTGTCCCTCCCCCCCCCATGTGCGCGCGCGCTCTCTCTCTCTCTCATATAAATAAAATAAAATCTTAAAAAATTAAAATCCTGAGAGTCACATGTATGGATTCTGAATTTGCACAACCATATATTGTACATAGTTGTATTTCATTTATTTTCACTGCTGTATAGGATTCTAGTGAATGTGCCAGAGTAGTAATTACCAGGACTTATGTGTTTTTTCTACTGTTGATAAACATGAAGGGATTTGGGGTTGTGTTTTTGTTGTTGTTTTTTACCATTATAAACAGTGCTGCTATAATAAACAAACAAGGCTGGCATTATTGAGCTTTCTCATTTTTGGAGTCTAATATTTTGCTTTAATCTGGTCTAATTACTAATGCTTTTGAAAATCTTTCTATATGCTGGTCAACTGTTAGGTTTTCTCTTAGATAAGTTTTCTTTCTTAGGATCACTGTCTTTCACATTGATTTGTAGGTGTGTAAGGAAACCTACTTTTTCAGTTTTAGACATTATAATCTATCTCCTTTTCCATGATCTGATTATTAACTTTGTGGTGTCCATTGTTAAACAAATATTCTAGTTTTGATGTAATCAAATGCATCAGGTTTTTTAAAGTGCAGTGTTGTTATTTTTTTGCCTTATGGTTTTTGCTTTTGTGGCTCTTTTAAGATGTCCTTCTTGACCGCATGTCACAAGGGTATTCTTTGTGTTTACCTTATAGTCTATACCTTGCTAGTTTTAACATAATATTTAGGTTTTATAATTTATCTGCTGTCCACTTTGGCATGTCATAGTGAGCCAGTTTTCTCAACTATGATCATCCTTTCTCTATTGATTTGTTGTGCTATTTTTCTTTTGTATTTATTTCCCATGTATATAGGACACTGTTTCTAAGCTGTTTATGGTATAGCTTTCTATCTAGCTAAGTCTTTTAAAATACCTTTCACATTAATTTTATTATTTTTCCCATAAGGTCTTACACATCTTTGTATGTTTATTCTGATGTATTTAAATTTTAATGTACTATAAATGACGTCTTTTTATTCTTTTTTTTTTTAATTTATTATTGTTTTTAAAGTAAGCTCTACACCCAGTGTGGGGCTTGAACTCACCATCCCAAGATCAAGAGTCACATACTCTACTGACTGAGCCAGCCAGGTGCCCTGCAAATGATGTCTTTTAAAAATTTACATTTTCTGTGTGTTGAAGTACAGACATGCATTTGATTTTGTGTGTGAATTTTGGATCTTGTGAATTCTCTTATTGGTTCTAATGATTTAGCAGTGGATTCTCTTGAATTTCTCCATAGATAATTACATATGAATGACAGTTTTCTTTCTTCTGTTCCAATTCTTACATCTTAATATTTTTTATTTCCTTTTCTTGTTTTAATGAACTGGCTAGGACTTTTTCTGCATCTTTTGAGGTGGGTCATTTTATTTTATTTTAAAAATCCCTTCATAGAGGTGAATTATATTGATTTTCTAATGAAAAAATAACTTTTTAATCCTGGGATAAATTCAACTTGGTCATAACAATCTTTTCTTATACGTTGATAGATTTAATAGGCTAATATTATGTTTAAAATTTTTGCATCCATGTTAATGAATATAGGAATATATTTTAGCTTTAGTACACATGATCTTAAAAGGCCAAGAAGGGATATCCTTTAGCTTTAGAATATATTAGAAAATACCCTCTAGGTTGTTACAAATAGCATCCCATTTCTTATGGTAGAAAAAACTAATGTTAACCTTTCTTATATATATACACAGATTAATCCAAAGCTTGAGGTAATCGATTTGCAGACTGCTTCTCCCCCTGTTGTGGACATCCTGTCTTTTGATTCTACCACAGTAAGTTTTCTTTGACATTTAAGTGGCATCTGATTACTTGGCAAAATAAATTTTCCTTAAAAAAATGTGTGGGAGAGGAGATAAAAAGTGGGCCAACTAGCCTAACATTTTAGCATTAAAAAACCTCATACATAAAGTCATACTTACAGGGTGTCTAAATAGCCACGAGGGGGAGCAGCACCGATTTTCAGAAAAACTGTTCCTTTGATGACCTTAAGCTTCGTCTACATCCCTACTGTAGCGTTCCCTACTAAATGTACCATCCAGGTGACATTTCACTGTGTTGTCGCAGAACAGATTTTCTTCACTGTTAATTGCCTTTCAGAGATGCTAAACTCACTTCTGGTGTTTTCTCCAGTGAAGCTATTAAAAAAAGTAATCATTTCCCTTCATTTATCCCTCTTGATGGATTATCCAGAGATTAAGTATTTCTAGCACTTGCAATTTTGTTTATAAAACCATATGTCTGTAATTTATTTACTCAGTGTAAAGTCAAAGATTTCAATTTGAGTCTGTTAGCCTTTGCAAGACAGATCATTGCTGTCATCAAATCCTGCTAGTCAGTGCAAAACTGGTCATAAGAATGAATGGGAGGAATGGCGTGCATGGTCTTTGGTCACACTACTGTGATGGTGTCAGTGTAGTTAAATATTTTGGAGAACTTATTAATGTGTGGCCAAGAAAGAAAACAAAAATGCTTGACATTATGACATTACACCCTTTCCAGCAGATCTCAAGAACAGTATTTTTTTGTAGAGGAATTCTGTAGAGGGACTAGTCCATGTTGAATCTATCCTGTACCAGAAAGAAATATACTTATTAAAGGGTTCTTTCACTGTTAATCTCAGGCAGAGAAGACCTAGATCGCTCATGAGACGTTTCAGCAATCACCCAGGGCTGGTGGGGCTGGTAACCAGCAGGCTGATTGTCAAAGGGAAATAAGTCCAGTAATTGGTGGTGACAACTAGAACCTCAAGCAGGTCAATGGTCTTGTCCCTTATAGTATTCATGTTTATAAAATATGCCTCTTAGCACTTCTGCATTAATGGCTTACTTATGATGTTAAAAATTAACTGGACATCTAATTGGTTGGTGATTGGTGGCTTATAATAGGTAGTCAGTACATTTATGTTCAGTGACTTACCCAAAAGGCATGCTGTTGAAACTTATAAATTCTAATGAGTTGGATTTTTGCCTCTGTAATAAGAGGAGCAAAAGAGAGGTGGTTTTTGAGAATGTGATGCCTTCTTATGAGTTGTTAGTCTACAACTTTTGGGTATTCCTGGCCTAGATCATCAAAAGTTTTTGGTCTACACTTTGGGACTCACTTTCCCTGATGGTAACTTTCAAGCTTTTGCAAGGCCTCATGACATGAAGAATCCAGGTATTTTTTACAGTATGCTATGGAAGTGGCATAATTACCACCTAACAAGTGATAGCAGAGTATCTATCCCTGGGTGGTAATCCAAAGGTGCCAAAGTCAACTGGTTCATGGTATAGGACCCTAACTCCGGAACTACAATGTATGTGGAACTTTGAGAGGGCAATTCTATATGACAAACACATGACAAGTTTGCAGCTATGCTACAAAACCTTTAATAATACCGAAGAGTACAAATATTATGGACATAAGGGATAATATTAGGTTGGATTATATAAAATTGCCATTTTGTAGGCAAAAATGGGCCAATGTCAGTGATTTCCCGTGATGAGAAAGCCCAGTATATAAGGATTTTGAAGAAGACTCTCTACTGTTGTATGCTTGAGTTGTGTGCTTGATGCTTCATAAAAAGAAAACAAACAAGAACACAGGAAAACAAAAACATATTTGCTATTAATCAGTTTTGGATTAGGCTAATGAAGTCCCATCTAGGTAGATTCTTTTACAATCTGGAAGATAGCTAGTTGCCTCCAGGCAAGGTATAATGGCTCCTGATTTTATTTATTTTCCTAGGACAGTCTCTGAAGACATAAATATATGCTCCTAAAGCATCTTTTTATTAAAAAAGATCTCTGAAATTTTTTCCTTTAAAATTTCAATATATGTATATCTTCCTTTAAGCTTATTGATAGGGAATTGGTTAGAAAACTAAAGTGAGGAACACCTGGGTAGCTCCGCCAGTCAGGCATCTGCCTTTGGCTCAGGTCGTGATCTAGGGTCCTTGGATCAAGCCCCGCATCAGGCTCCCTGATCAGCAGGGAGCCTGCTTCTCCCTCTCCCTCTGCTGCTCCCCCTGCTTGTGCTTACTCAATCCCTGTCTCTCTGTCAAATAAATAAATAAGATCTTAAAAAAGAAAAAAGAAAACCAAAGTGAAATCACTTTAAATGTTCATCTTCTCATTAATCTACTGGTAAGTAATTCTTAATTTGTAGTCTCTAGACATTGGCTGCTTTTCTTTTGCTTCTGCACAACAAATCAGGCATAATTAAAAAGGAGATTTGTTTCTACTCTGGCATGAAGCACAACTGCATTAAGTATTTGTGGTAAGAAATTTGTGTATGATTATAATTTTAAAACCCAGAGAAATACTGGAAGCCGTAAAACAGTGTTTAAAGGTGGTTTTGGTTTTTGTTGTAGTGGTTACTCTATTTGGAGGATTTGTTTGGTTTTCAAAGAAGACGGGAAGAAATTTTCCTTAGAATTCATTTCATCAAGATAGGACATAAAAAAGATTATTCTTTAAGCCTTCATTTGAAATTTCCTAGTAAGATAAAAGCCAGGTTTGTTATGGTACAGGAAAACAGTTGGCTTCTATTTCTGCTTTGATTTGATTTAATATTACATTCAGAATGATTTATAAATCTGAGAGTACTGATACCCAGGCTCTGATGCTTTCTTACTACAAATTATGGCATACAATGTTAAGTTGGTATCTTTGTGGCTTCACCTGTGCCTCTAATGGTAGGCAGGACATCTGATAACAATACTTTGGGATCAAAATAAGCTGTTACCAATCTGCATTTTTAAACCTTTGTTGTAAACAAACAAACAAACAAAAAACAGAATGGGGAGTGCAGTTTGTAAAGGAATATACTGGCTGTCAAATAGACATAGTTTTAAAATTTTGATCTCAAATAAATAAAATAAAATAAAATTTTGATCTCAAATTCCTAAATCTTTATTCCAATTACATTGTTACTTGTTATATACTGGTTTTCTGAGGGTCTTCTAAGAGTCCGTTGAGTCTTTTAAGATTTTCATTTATTCAGTTAGAACTAGACCCAAGATTTTGTCATGAAAGTTGTACAACAGCATTTAGCATTAGTGCTGACATGTGATGCGGCTATTTGAGATTTCCAGACCGTCCCCCATTCTCACCTCTCCCCTGCAAAAGGCAGGCAAGATAGGAATTTCTCTTCTATATCCTAACATAAAGTCTTTTTTTAAAAACAATACTGACTATAAATACAGTTTATTTAAAATACTCTAGGATTGGGCAGCTCCAGTGGTGCAGTGGTTTAGGGCCGCCTGCAGCCCAGGGCGTGATCCTGGAGACCCAGGATCAAGTCCCACATCGGGCTCCCTGCATGGAGTCTGCTTCTCCCTCTGCCTGTATCTCTGTCTCTCTCATGAATAAATAAATAAAACCTAAAAAAATAAAAAAATAATACTCTAGGATTATTAAAATATTTTATTCTAGCTAAACTATATTCCTAAGTTTTGATATATTAATTTTACTATTATTTGCTATTATTTGTCCTCCAAATAAATAAAATGAAATTGATAATCTTGCTGGTCTTCCTCTGATTAATTCAGACTGGATTCTTCTCTGAGAACAAAATAGAAAAAAAGTTCTCATCTTCATTCAGCAAACTGTGTAGAATATGAACATAATGTGGGTGCCTTTCTTTAGAATTGGGGACAGTATTTCAAGTCAAATTCATTCTTTACAATAAAATGAGAATTTGCTATTATATTACAGAAAAAAAAATCAAGGGTTTACAGTCTTTTTTTGCTCCATCAGTCAAAATATTTAAAAGTATGGGGCATGAAAACATTACATGAGATGCTCAGTGCGCTGTCAAGCTGCCTACCTGACTTCAAGAAACCTACAACCTAGCCCAATAGAAATAAGAGTATAAGAAATAAGTGGCGATTTCAGTAGAGTAGATGCCAACTGTATATGATTGTCACGAAAGGTTATTGGTGGAAGTACTCAGAAAAGATCATTAATGGGCTGGAGGAAACTAGAGAACTTCTCTAGAAGGAAACTTTTGACCAGTTCTTGACCTGACCAGAGTTGGGTAGGATTTCGATAGGGACATTCGAGTTGGGGAAAGCAAAGTGTAAGTAGATGTCTCAGAAACCATTGAAAATACATACTACAGTAATAAAAGTGCATCAGTCTGGTTTGGGATCTTTAGGTTGCTTGATTCAATGGGTAGCAGTTGTGATAGAATGCCAGGAGCATACCTACTACATCATAAATGTCTCTCAATCCATGCTTATTGAATAACTAGTCTTTAGAAAAAGCTAACAAAACAAAAATACCTTCCCCAGAAAAGCCTGTTTTCTACATTCTAGTGGGGAAGACAGGCAATTCACAGACTAAAAGATAGACTGTGTTGTATGGTAGAGCATAGCATATATAGGCCCCCAAAATTCAAAGGTATAAAAAGCACTGAAGGCAGACGGGAGGAGGAAGGGTGTGCTGTAGGTAGTATGTCCATGACAAGAGGTGACATGTCGGGAGTGAAGGGAACAAGCCCTGTGGATATCTGTGAAGGCATTCCAGGAGCAGTGCTGGAAGGGCAGATTGAGGGGGAGCTAGGAGCCACCAGAGGGTTTCCTGCAGAGGTGGGACTTGTTTGACTTAGGTTTTTTTTTTTTTTAAAGGTTTTTTATTTATTTATTTACGATAGTCACAGAGAGAGAGAGAGAGGCAGAGACACAGGCAGAGGGAGAAGCAGGCTCCATGCACCGGGAGCCCGATGTGGGATTCGATCCCGGGTCTCCAGGATCGCGCCCTGGGCCAAAGGCAGGCGCCAAACCGCTGCG